CCGCGGCGGCCACCGCGTCCGATGAGCCCCCGGTGTCGAACTCTCTGATGGCGGCGATCAACCGGTCGCAGGCGAACCAGCGGCGGCACCCCGATACCTTCCACCAGCAACAGATAAACTCCTCACCGTCGTCGTCAGGCTCCTCCTCGTCGTCGTTCTTGGGGGTGAAGGTCGATCTCCAGCAGCTGATCCTCGCGATCCTCGACGACCCCGTCGTCAGCAGGGTCTTGTTGTAATGCTTAGTAAGGTATATTTTCCATTGTAAGGTAGATTTTTTTTTAATTTAGTAAAAGGCTCTTCAATCTTTTCAGACCAAATTTACAATTATTAGCTCAAGTGGTGTTGGTTTGTGCATTGTTCAAGTGTGTGTGTGTGTGTTTGTTATCTGTATAGCTGATATTTTGGTGGTTGGGTTGCAGTATTCGGTGGATCAGTCGGTGGCTGAGAGGTTGAAGAAGATCTGTTGTGGTTGATGCCCGGTAAGTGTTTGTTGAAATTACTCAGTTGGGTAATAATAAGATTTTTAGCTAGTTTCGGATGATGAAGGAAATTCAGATTGACTATTTGAAGTTTACAAGCATGAGCTTTTATGGTAGGAATGTAAATGACAGTTGAACTGAGCTGGATTTGTTCGAGTTTGAAACTTGGTTGCCTTAAAAATGTAAGGATGAGTCATGTCATGTGTTAGAGAGCTAGAAGTGCTCACCTCTAATCCTGATTATTTTGAGCTTGACAAACCTGATTTTGAGCCTATTGCTGCTATCGGTATCGAAATCTGGACATATTGATAGCTGGTGATGAGAAGATTGCCGAGTCGTATAGAGAGAAGTTATTCTGAGCTTGCTTGAAGAAATTGATGCAAACTGTTTGCTGAATGATATCTCAGAGAATAGTCAGTGTTGATATATAAAAATTTCATCTCGTCTTGTGTTTTTCTGCAGGTTCTGCATGATGCATTTTTCAAATATCAGACTAAACCAAAGCTTACAACACATGGTGATTTGTATCAAGAAGGAAAAGAGTTTGAGGTATTCTTCTGATCCTGTATCTTCAGACTATTGTATTATGGGCTGTTGCAGTGGAGTTAATTCTTTTAGATATTAAGGGCATATTTCACAGTTGATTACCAGACTGTTCTTTTAGGAGAGAGATTTGGGATCCTGAAGCTAGGGTTTTCAGTTTTGTTTCTTCTCGCCGTCCAAAAATGTTAACCCTGTCCGTCTGCTGAATATCAAACTATACTATGGCTTAAATTTTAATTGCATCATACTTGAATCTTATTTATTTTGCAATATGAAAAACTGTTCAAAGCGACCGACCCTTTTTAGAATAATCAGATGACTAATTTTATGATTTTCGACATACTATTGTGATGGGTTTGCTAAAATCATTTCATCCTTAATATTGAAGTATAATACATCTCTATGGTAGTAGAAGTGAATGTTAACCTTCTTGCATTCATTGGTTTCCATTACATTGATTTTCTTCATCTGAAGTTGGTTCTTATAATCATTATATGTTTTTGAAGAAGTACCCACTTCTGCATTTAAACAAATAGCAGGGTAGTTAGAATACATTCATAATATCTAATTTTTGATGAATTTTAATTTCTACCTGCCTAACATAGTACTGTTTTGTGAAAGCCAAAATTATGTGTCTTATGGCTGTAGAGTAGGCATAATTTCTGTCATATATCTTCAGGTCTCAAGACATTTAGCATGCTTTTTGTTATACTTTTTTGTTGGAGAGACTTTGCAGCTTGATAATATTCATGCTATTTACAGGTCAAACTGAGGGAAATGAAACCAGGAATGCTGTCACATGAACTTAAAGAAGCTCTTGGCATGCCAGATGGTGCTCCTCCTCCTTGGCTTATTAATACGCAGGTTGTTGCTTACGCTAAGATTTTATAGAAGCATTTCTTATTTTATTGTACCTGTAAGCATAACTAACAGTAATTAACTTTGTCAGAGATACGGTCCTCCGCCATCTTACCCACATCTGAAAATACCAGGACTTAATGCTCCTATTCCTCCTGGAGCCAGCTTTGGTTATCATCCTGGAGGTTGGGGAAAACCTCCTGTTGATGAAGTAGGTTCAGCGATACGCTTTTTATTGACATTTTACAAGTAATACGTCTTTTTTTTCTTTTTTCTAAGTCCTCTTTTTTGCATTACAGTATGGCCGGCCATTGTATGGTGATGTTTTTGGGGTTCAACAACAAGACCAACCTAACTATGAGGTAATTTTCCTGCCCTCATGTGATGTCATTTCTTGCTATAACTGCCCTTGAACTGTTGTATTGACTCGGTACTTTAGAGCAATCATTCATGACTCACGTATATGTCCTAATATTTTTGTTATCTGCTGGTTTTGGTTATAGGAAGAACCAGTTGACCGAAGCAAACACTGGGGAGATTTGGAGGAAGAAGAGGAGGAGGAGGAGGAAGAAGAGGAAGAACAAATGGAAGAAGAGGAAATGGAGGAAGGCATTCAATCAGTTGATAGCCTTTCAAGGTGCTGGAGCTGTTTTTCTCTCCAAATCTTGATTTTGGACATAGTTAATTACGTTATGGTCTAATATTCTTTTTATCCCCCTCTCATACAGCACCCCCACTGGTGTTGAAACTCCCGATGTTATTGACCTACGAAAGCAACAGAGAAAGGAGCCAGAGAGACCTCTTTATCAGGTAATTAATGGATTTCTACCTCTTTTTTTAATTTACCTAGGTTATCTGACTGCTTAATAATAGTTAATATAAGTCTACTGACGTTTTTTTTTCCCTTCAATTTTTTTTAAAAATAAAATTTAAACCTGAAGGTTCTGGAAGAGAAGGAAGAGAGAGTTGCTCCTGGGACTCTGCTTGGAACAACTCACACGTACGCATATTGATCGCTAGCTCGAATTTTTAACATAAAGAGTTTACTTATTTTCGAATGTTTGTAACTGTGATTATGCATTGGGCAAACTAGTTTTATTTATTTATTTATTTATTTATTTATTGATGCAGTTATCTGCTCACTGATAAAGACAAAGACAAAGCAGCTGCTGCTAAAAGGGTGAGAGGCCTTTTTATTTTTCATTAGGATTTCTTGAATTTGTGCATGACATTATCATGTCTAAACTTGTCACTCAAAATCTTCTCGACTGTTTTGCAGGTTGATCTTCTTCGGGGTCCAAAATCAGACAAGGTGGAAGTCACCATCCAACCAGAGGAGTTGGAGGCTATGGATGATGTTTTGGCTGCCAAGTAAGGAGAAGCCTAACAAATTACTCGCTGGGTCCTATGGAAACTTATGGGTGTTCTCTAAATATTTCATGATGATTTGATGTTCAGGTACGAAGAAGCACGTGAGGAGGAGAAGCTGAGGAACCAGAAGGAAGACTTCAGCGACATGGTTGCAGAGGTCTGTGTATACGGTTTTATGTTTGTTTCATCTTTTGTGTTTCTCATTTGTTTCTGCTTTTAAGCTTAGACGGAGCTCCATGATTGCTGCAGGCCGAGAAGAAGCGAAAACGTAAGATGCAGGATAAGGAAGGCAAATCGAAGAAGAAAGATTTCAAGTTTTAGTTTATATATCGAGCCGAGATGGCGGCATGGAAGTTTCCAACTGTTGATGTACCTTGTACTCTTGAGTACGTAACTTGTAAATCACTTAGCGCTCTCAGTAAACCTAGTTTTGCGTATGAAGATTGAGAAGTTGCTACGATTGTGGTGCTCGAGGAAACTGACATGTTACCTTATTTTATGGCTTTACTTCCGTAGGCAGATCATGCCATTTTATGTTTTAGATGTCAAATTGATGTTGTTCATCAATCATAGAATGTGAATCAAGCAATTCTACTTGTATGGTAGTAATTGCCCTAAGAGCATGTATGGCTACTATTTATATCTTTGAACCCTTACAAGTTAAGTTACTTATTCTCAAAACTCAATTGTAAGGGTGTAGAAAAAAAAATTAGTGTTTGGTATGCTAGTATAGTTTTTGTGTTTGGTAAATCATTGACTTGCATGGTTATTATTGTTGGCAAACGACTAAAAAGAACGTCTTGTTGAATGGATCTCATGGTGTGACTAATTAATTAATTATATATTAAACAGATAATTGCTATTGAAAAACTTATTGTTTAATTAACTAAGTAAATAAAAGAAAGGGATCATTTCACATTAATTATTGTTATTAATTTACTAAATGTTTGAAGTAATTAATTAACTAATTTATATTAATAAAATATTATTATCAGTGAAATTATTAATTAGTTAATTAGAAATTAATTATTTAATAATTAAAAATATAGTTAATTTAAATGTTTGCAATAAACGGTAAAAATTAATTGTTTCACATTAGTTATGGTTATTAATTATTAATGTTTAAACTAATTTATCATTTATATTAATTAAATATTCATTAGTAAAATTATTAAGGGAAAAGTGCTTCAAGCCCCCAAAATAAAAAAAAGAGAATGTGTGACACCCTCAAAGACTCCAATTGCGTTTCTTTTCCTATTTATATCCCTAATTAAGGCCTTATGTGACTTTCTTGAGATGAGTGTCTCTTATCCCTTACACCTAAGCAAAGACTCCAATTGCGTTTCTTTTCCTATTTATATCCCTAATTAAGGCCTTATGTGACTTTCTTGAGATGAGTGTCTCTTATCCCTTATCATCATCTCCCTTCTCTCTCCCCAAACCCAACCATGTTTGCTATATCCACTCCCAAACAGTAATTTTGGGAGTTAGATTGCCGAAAATGCCCTTTTGATGTTGAGGGTGTTTCTGGAATGGACTTGGCCTGTTTTGGTTTGGGAGAAGAGCAATTTAGTCCTCACACACCCTCAAAATTACTGTTTGCGATCCCAACCAACATAATCTCTCTCTTTAGACTCAACACCCATGGTCACATCACCAACGGCCCTCCTGACGCGGTCCCAACCAACATAATCTCCACTATCACCGATATTTGCACCCACTACTCCTCTCGTCTCCCCAAAAATGGCGCCACATCAGCATTCAACCCACACCTTCCTCTCCCTCTACCTCCCGTGAGCATTTAACTATTAATGTTAGCAACCGACTCTCAAACTTAACAGCTATACTACTTAAATCTAACTTATAACCCATAAGTTTAGCAATCAATCTTTAAGTTTAATAACCGACGAATAATATAAATAACTAACCCTCGAGAACACTTTGTTGTGGCTGTGATTAACTTCGGTTAAAAACAATCGTTTGTGTTGTTTAAGGTTATAATGTAATTTTTCCCTGCATTGTTGATGTGATTATAACAACCAACTCATAAAATTAGCAACTAACTGATAACTTTAACAGCTAACTTATAAATTTAACAATATATTATTGTTAAGTTTAACAACTAACTCATAACCTAAGGGTTTTTTTTTTGCATGTTTTTGTCGGGTTATTTGCAATTTCTAGAACTTTATAGGTGTTCTTTTCAAAATTTTGGGGGTTATTTGCCAATTGTAGAACTTCCAAGGGATTATCTGCATAACTTAATTTGGCAGTTAGTTGTTAAGCTTAGTAGTTAATTGTTTAGTTTAACTTTCAGTGGTTGTGGTTAGTAGTTAGTTATTATGTTTAACAGTTAATTATCAAGATTAATATAATAGTTAGTTGTTATGTTTATATATTGTATGTATATATATTAAGTTTAATGATTTTCTGTTAATAGTTGTTTGTAAAATCTTTGCTATTTATGTTTAGCATGGATGCTTAACAATATATATTTTTTTATTTTGTTAAATGTTATCATGTAATATTTTCTCTACAATATATAATGTAAATCTTTAACTTTAAGATCTGACCCTTATGCTTAAAAATAATATTTAAACCTCACATATAAGTCATGGGTTTAACAACCAATCCTTAAGTTTCTGACGGACAACAATAACTACCATTACCTAAATCTATCAATAAGTTTAACAGTCAATCCTTAAGTTTAACAATTAACGGACAACATTAATAACTAATATTTAAATTTAGCAACTGATTCTTTAGTTTAACAACCAACCATTAAATTTGATAACTAATTCACAACATTAATTCATGCCTTAACAGATGATGTTAGAGATTTTATCTATGATGAGTTTAACAATCACATGGCAAGAGTTCTTGGCCAAAATATCACAGATCAATACATCAAATCATTTCAGTTTTCAGACATGCAAGAACCAGTGCAAAACGCTCACCGAACTATAAAAGTTATTAAAAAATATATACGTGGGTATATGTATGTTTCTCCAATCTTTTTTATATAAAATTTTCTTTCTTTGAATAAATGATTAAATCAATTAACCATCAAAACAACTCGACACATCCTTGGTCTCTAATGCTTCATCTATTTCCAACAAAATAATAATAATAATAATAATTTTGCTCTTCATCTACGTCGATGGGTTCACTGCAATTAATAAAGATCGGACCTCGAGCTAAATTTCAGCTTCGTCTTTATTTACAGTCAGATCGGCCAGCTCAGGGGCTGTTTGGTTGTTGTTGGTAAAGTTGTGTATTTATGACACAACTTGAAAAGTTGTTGTCCACCTCATCAATTTTACTTTTATACATTTCTTTGTTTGTTTTTGATTCCATTGGAATCATAAAACACTTGTTTGGTTTGCAAAATAAAACTTTAATTGTTTGTTTGGAAAGTGTAAAAAGTGGTCCCTACTCAAATGATCATATTGGTTGGAATTATTTTTTATTATTTTTTCCTAACTTCAATGTTAGCTTTCTCCTAAAATCATGTCTTTTTTTCATGAAATCACTTTACAAGCCACATCAGCATATGAAATCACTTTATACTATTTTCACAACTACAAACAAACAATTGAAAGTGATGAAAGCTGACAATGGGACCCACTTTTTTACACTTTACATTATTTTACATGGTAAAAACATACAACCAAACAGCCCCTCAATAGCTGGCGTTGGAAATTGTCACCCATGATGATGACTATGGAGGGTTGAATTTTGGGAGAGAGAGAAAGGGAAGAGAGGAAGAGGATGATTTGTGTTTTTTTATTTTGGTGGTGGAGGTGGTGGGGGTGATTAGGTGTATAATAGGGAGAGAGAAAATGCAATTGGAGCTATTGCTTAGATGACAGCACATTTTGGGGGTTAAACACATTAAAAACTCAATTTAATAGCTACGTTAACTTAGTCTTGGGGTGCACACATTCCCTTTTCAATTTTGGGGCCTCAAAGCATTTTTCCCAGTTAGTAATTTGTTAATTAATAATTCATAATTGGAAATATATTTAACTAAAGTATTTTTATAAATAATAAAAATTAGTTATTTCATATTAAGCATGGTTATTAATTACTAATATTTGAACAAATTAATAAATCTATATTGATAAAATATTAGTATTAGTAAAATTACTAATGAGTTAATTAAAAATAATTATTTAATAATTAGAAATATATTTAATTAAAATAGTTTTATATATTACATCAATTTTGATTATTAATTACTGATATCAATAATAATTAATTTAATACCAATTAAATAATAATTATAATAAATTGACTAAATTACCATATTGGTATTGAAATAGTACCTTATGACCATATTGGCAATAAAATTATCTCCGACGACAACAAAGTATTTAAACTTGCACAATCAGACAAATACACCCAAAAGTAAATTTTCCACTCATTGTTCCGGCTAGCACCAAAATGATTTGCCACATGCGTTTAAGTGAGATTTTCATGATGACGTCATAACTATAGTTAGCCTCATTCATTTCATTAGAATGAGAGATCTTCAAATTAGAGTAAAAAGAAAAAAGAAGATTTTTTTTTTGTAAATTTGGGATTTTTTCTCTTTCTTCCTTCAAATTGAGCGTTCTTTATTGCTTGAGCTCGAAGAATCCATATTTTCCAGCAATGGAGGACCCCAATTTTAATAGAAGGAGAAGAAGCCCCCAAATTTAAAAATCCCTCTTTTCTTTTACTCTACTTCCCCGTTTAATACTTTGAAGGAGGCTAACTACAAACTGCCACATCATCATAAATATGTCACATAAGAATCACATGATAGATCACATGAGTGGTTGCCGGAAAAGTTGGTCGGAAAATTAATTTTTGCACCTATTTGTCTCATGTATAAGTTTAAATACATTTTTGTTGTCGAAGGTAATTTTAATACCAATCTGGCCATTGGGTACTACTTTAATACTACTCTGGTAATTTAGCCAAAATAAATTTATTTATTAACTAACTAATTAATTAATAGCTATTATTATTTAATAATAAAATAGAAATATAAATAATTAATTCAATAGTATTTATTAATAAATTTAACTAATAATAAACTAATAAATTTATGAGAAATATTATTTCTTTTTAGCAATAAAATATATAACTAATTAATTTCATAGTACTTATTGGTAAATTAATTTATTAATTAACTAATTAATTAATCAAAAAATTATTTATGACAAGAAAATATTAATTAAAATATATTTTATATGTCAAATTATTTATGGTTATTAATTACTAATATTGGCACTATTAAGTAATAATTTAATAAAAGTATTAATTAATTAGTTAATTAAATTTATTATTTCATAAGAGGAAAAATATAAATATAAATTAAACCAAATTCTTGAGATTTTCTGTAGATTGATGAAGGGGGTTCGTGGGTATTATGGTCTTCTAATAAGGAAAACTCCTAGGGAAAAAAATAAGTTGGAATTTCCCAACTTAAATTTTCCATACTTCAAGTAAAAAATAAGTAAAAAAGTTAACTATTATCAAACATGAATTTGGTACCTTATAAGTAAAAAAAAGTGCTTATAAGTAAGTTGCCAAACATGCTCTAAGTATGTATGATTTATGAAATAATATTTCGAGTTAATTGAGAATAGACCTTTCTAGTATCCTTCAATTATGAATAGATTTCCTATAGCTCTTTTTCTTGTTAATGAACTCCTCGTAGTACTTTTTGTTGCAAATAGGTCACATGAGTAATTTTTTTAAACTCTAAAATCGTTAATGTTTGAGGAAGTGGATAAACTCCTTATAAATCTGTTGGCAAGGATAAACACCCATTTGTTAATTTTTTTTTTTTTTAAATTTCACTAAGAGAGTGTATTCGCACTTGAGCCAATATTACATGGGGTCAATAGAACTACAAGAGGTTTATTTGCAACGAATAGAATTACAATAGGTCTATTTTCAATTGGAAAATACTAAGAGGGTCTGTTCGCAATAACCCTAATGTTTAAAAAATGAGGCACGTGACTTAATGACAAGAAGCAGATTAAAGTTCTACTCTACACCACCAATTTTAGAAACTTTGTGCTACTCTCCAATTACAGCTTAGACCGAAGAATGGCCAAACTCCGAAACTGAACGGGTAACATTCAAACCGATGCATTTTCATTTCCACTGAAATCAAAACTCTATTCAAATATTTCTAGTTATAACCATTATTAAAGTTCCATTTACATGGGAAAAAAGGACACAAAGAGACGGAACATGAACATTTAAGGTTTCAACATGAGTAACTGCAGATCAGCTTTGGCCCCTTCACTAGAAGAGCCCAAGATTCAGTCAGTTCTCCAGAGTCATCCATTTTGCACAATTTCTTTTGCTCAGTTCCAAGGATAGCCAGAGTCCAATATGTTTATATACAATGAATCCGACCTAGCGGTAAAATGAAAAATGTGGGTAACTCCCACCACCTCTCTTGGCTGAGGGAGTCTTGTGCAAAGTATCTTTGGCAGCTTGCTTTCAACCTGTGATAACTCCAACTTTCCTCTTCCTCTGATCTAAACAGGTCAGTAATAATTTATACAGGTCCTCGAAAAGATAGATGATTTAAAGTACACCATGAAACGCTAGACGCGGATCTCTTGAAGAGTGTTCATGTACGTATAACTTGAAAACAGCACAAATAATTTGCGAAACCTGCACATAATAAACTAGCAGCATTAAGAAGACGTCAATAACCTCAAAGGGAAAAGGCATGACAGGTTGGGCAAAACTAAAGGATATACACCCTAGATTTCCTATTTTAACAGTAATGTGCATGACATGAACGTGTGATAAATCTTAATTACATGATTAGGGAAGCACTTTTGTTTAAACTGATGGATTTAGTTATGGATTTCCTCTTTTGCAACAATGTAAATCACACAGCATTATTCCACCAAATCTTTAGCAGTTTTAACAGAATCCATCAGCAGAAGGCTGGAGGGTAGAGTCCTATAGTTGTATGGGTAATTGTCAACAGGATAGAGTCCAAAAACCAACACTTCCGAACATTTTTTCCTATCACATTACCTGGCAGATCAACATGAATACCTTAGACCAATGTTTAAAAAAGCAGAAGCGTAAGGCTGAGTGTTAAACCTTTTAATGAAGCGAAGTGTAAGCTTCAAAATGTGAGGCGTGCACCTCATAAGTTTAGGTATTTTAATTTTAAAGTTTGTATAAAGTATGAACACATAACATATAGTGGTATAATAATTTTAAATGTGTGAAGTATAGATGCAAATCATATAAATAATTAACATGCATAACATATATATGATACGTATATTATATTATATTATAATATATATATATTAATACTATATTGTGTGTGATCGATTTGTGTTATGCATGTTATATATACTATTATATATATATATAATTATAATATATATTATATATATTATATATATTATATATTAATATAATATATATATTATATATATAATTATATATATATATAGAGATGAGAGAGCAAGAGAGAGAGAGAAGAGAGAGAGCAGAGGTATGTCATCTTAAGTGGATAGCAAGCATTTGTCATTCTAAACTTTTATTCATCACTTATATATTATATATCATATATATATATATTATATATATATATAAATTATGGTATGTTGGTACCAAGCCCAACAATTTTTGTGCTTTGGTAGTGATGTGTCACATCCTCATCAACTCATTACCTATCGTGATATGTGGTCCCATATTTAACATGAGTGTAGGGGAGATGTGACACCTCCCAAGCACACTTTTTCGTGCCTGGTACAAGCATAACCCATTATTTCTCTCTCTCTCTTTCTCTCTTCTCTTCTCTATTATATATATACTATATATATATATATTATATATATATCATTATATATAAGAGAGGAGGAGAGAGCAGAGATATGGGTATGGTTGGTACACAAAATTTTATAACTTGCGTAGTGATGTGTCACATCCCCATCCACTCACTACACATGTGAATTTGTTCCACATTTGAATGAGTGGAGCGGGATTTACACCTCACTACCAAGCATACTTTGTGCTTTGTACCAATCATACCATTTTCTATATATATATATATATATATTACTATATACTTATATTTGAGAATAATGGAGGTGAGCTGGCCACCTCACCTCTCCCGTTGAGCTGAAGTGTATGACATGTGAGCCCCTATAGTCAACATCGGTTGTGGGGCTCACATTGTATACACTTTGCAGCTCCGGGAAAGATGTGAGTGCCAGTCACCTCATTATTCTCTCTCTCTCTCTCTCTCATATAGTATATTATATAATTATATATGAGAAGATGGGTATGCTGTGGTACCAAGCGCATTTCGTCTTGGTAGTGAGTGTGTCCTCTCATTCCAACTACTACCCATGTGAATGTGGTTCCTATTTTTATAGTGAGGGGGATGTGAACATCACTACCTAAGCACAACTTTGTGCTTGTACCAAGCCACATTTGCTCATATTGTCATATATATATATATATATATATATATATATATAGAGAGAGAGAGATTATTTACACTCACATGGTCATATTGAAGATACATATGACCATATTGATGATAGCCAAAATCCTTCTGTATCTTCCTATCTTGTCCTAAAGCGTGCGCTTCAAATTATGAAGCGCTTCTTTAGTTATGCTTCAAGCAATGAGGCGTAAGCTTCAAAGGAAAAATAGTTTTTCTCTTAAGCTTCAAAGTACTTGCCCTTCAAAAAGTTGTGAAGCGAGTTTCGAAAAAGTTTTTTCAAACATTGCCCAAGACAAGATATAAAAAGAAAATCATTCATAAAAGTACAATATAGGCAAATACGACTTAAGGTGAAATTACTGATCGAACTGATTTGATTAAGAAGTATCAAAGTTGATTAAGAAGTATCAAAGATGCATACCAAGCCCACTGGCTCTTATGTTCAGCCATTGCAAGATAGCTTTTGCGAGGATTGCCATTTATCAAGCTATATACTCTTTCTCCTTGGCAAGATCGAAAGCATGTTGAGAGCCAGATAGCCACTGGGCCAGTATACTTAAGAAGGATACTGTTACTAACCTGAAATTATATCAGTGAAAAAGTATCAACTACTCTATGAAAATCATCAGAGAAATATTTCTGAAGAGTACATCTATAGGATATCTATCAATACAGACCTAACTCTAAGCTGTTGTTCATCAAAGTTGTTTGACCGTCTTTGAAAATAGTGCAAAAGTTTGCATACACGAAGTTGAAAACCAATGGGTAAAAAAAATTCTGGATGAAAGAGTTAGGCCGTGTTTGGTTCGAGAGAAAATGATGGAAAAGAAAAAGAAATAAAAAAAGAAAAGGAAAGGAAAGGAAAATAAAAGAAAATAAGAGTCTCTCTATCGTTGAGAATTGAAAAGAAAATTGGGAGGAAATGATAATAATTTAATAAAAACAAGGTAGAAATAACAATTAACATGTTATATACAATCTATATTAGTAATTTTATAAATTTATCTTTCTAGATGAAAATTAGATACAACTGTTGTTGGTCCATTATAAGAAAAGATCGATACTTATTAGTATATTCTTGTGTACACAAAGGTTAAAGAAAAGGTTTCTTTTTCCAATATTACTCCCTTGCATCTTTTGTATTTTGAATGAGTCCCTCAAATCATTGACATTGCTATTAGACCCTTAAATTATTATGAGATTTTGAAATCCTGAATCATTTAACTTGTTAGTTGGGCTCCTTAATTCTCATGTAATTGTGAAATTAGTCTGCCCCAGTTAAGAGTGAAAGTAACAATTAAGGTATTAGTTTCAAACAACTTATGAGAATTAGGGACCTAAGGGCAATTTCAATATTTGCAGGGAATTATTCTGAATTAGCTTGAATATTGGAGGACCTAGTAGAATTTTAATTATTTGAGCTCATTTCGAATTATAAAAGACATAAGAGGCTAAAATAAAACCTTTTTAATTTATGGCAAACTACAGGGTAATGTAACATTTCCATGTGTCGCATGGGGCCCACATAAAGAACAAGTGAATATGTTTTTTTTGCCTAAACCTGAACTACACCTATTTAATTCTTTCACTTGGGCCCACATGAAATCAACTGGGTGAGCAACAATTTTGGTGATGTGATGTCCGAAGAGTTCATCCCCTTTGTCGAGTTCATTTCCATCCTCCCCGATAAATTTTCCGCTGCTTTCACTAGGTCCCGACGAGGAAAAGGAACGGGAAAGATTTTAGTCCATTTTCCTTCTGCTTACTACTGTTTTTATTTTTTATTTTATTTTTTATTTTCTTTCAAACTAAACAATTGCAAACAATTTTCTCTCTCTCTTTCTTTTCCTTTCTTTCAATTTCAACCAAACCAAACACAGCCTTAATCATTCTCTTGAAGAAGAAAAGATGCGAAGTATCACCTTCTCTGAGGAACTGACCTTCATGAGTTAATAACTTGCTCATATCTTTGTGCTCCAAGCTTCATACACATCGAGTGTGCACTTTCTATCAGAATACTGCACCCAGCGGTGAGATCTAAGTCATAGAAGGGTGCAATACCCAAATTGCCCCCAACATGTTATCTCAACAGCTCAGAGCGCACCGCACGGTGCGAGGCATTCTGATAGGATGTGCACATGAACATATCTTTATTTATTTAGGGGTTGTTTGGTTCACCTAAAACACCAACGAAATGTGTTTCCTTTTTCTGACACAGTGACCAAGTAGGATAAAGTCATTCCCTTCTTTTCTTTGTCTAGGTTGGTTGGCGACGGGCTAGAGAGGGCGGAAAACTCCTCCACCCAACCGGTTTTCTTTCCCCTATTTCCATGCAAAACGAGAGGAAATGGGTGAAAACTTACATTTCAACAATTATTAAAATCACCCCTTGTATACTTTTGTCAGATCTACAATTTTTTCATAAGTTGTAGATTGAGATGAAACTGTACCCTTGCATTTATGTTTATCAACCCTACTTAAATGTTGTCAGCCATCATTAATACATTAGAGAGATGAATACAGTATAACTAATATGAGAAGAAATACAAAAATATATATAAATATAAAGCAGAATTAACATTATGGAGTACTAAATTAACGTTAATGAAAAGCAAAGTATGAAAAAATAACAAAACAAAACATAGAGTTAAAAGTTTAGAGTATAAGAATGAACAAAAAAGATTAATAAATTATGAACTTAAGTCTCAGTGATTACACTACTATTATACTTATTACGATAGTCAGCCACATCGCCCAAGCAATCTCACTCATCCCTAAGGGTCTTCCACTAATTTATCGATTGTGTTTGTTCCCTTTGGGTTTAATTTGGTATAAAGTGAACTATATTGTTAACAGCTTCATTTACCACCTCACTCAACATAATGAAATCAGACTCGTTGAGCAACTCATCATTCAGATCGACAGTTGCAATGTTATACAGTACTACTATGCAAGCCAATACAATATCCACTTGTGTGGGGAATGGTTAATGTCGCTTAGCACAAGAAATATTGAACTGATTCTTCAATATGCCAAAGGTAAATTCAATCTAAGAACTCGAAGAAGAATGCCTTACATTGAATAAATCCTTTTTATTCTTAGGTGCTTTACCAGTATTATGTTTTTCAAATGATATCAAACACATCAATATAAGGAGATGAAACCTGGCATAGTTGCGAATCTAGCATCTCACAAATAGTATTTGCTTACAATTTATTTAAGGAAATTTATAAATAAGCCAAGTTTATATATTAAATTGGAAATTATTTGAGGTGAAAATTATAAACAATTACCACCATATACTCTCAATCCGTGTAAATGTGGTCTACATAATGCGTTTTGGAGGTCCTATTATCATTTGTCGGCCCCTCCCAACCTACTAATACATATGTGAACAATATATTTAGGGTACAAGCTACTAGCACATTCCATGTGACACCTTCACGGCCTCAGAATCGTGCAACAAGATTAATCGGCAACATTACATCAACATGAGTCCTATCTATCACACCAATGCAATCCTATAATACGTATATGAAATAACTAAGTTTACATATGTTTTTATTGAATAATGAATATACATATAACTGTATTTTAAAGTGGAGATAATATATCTTGAAATAAAGGTAGTGTAACGGGTTGTTAAGGATCTTTTGTAGAACATCATTGGGGGCTTGTCTCATTTATCACCCACGTAGTTAATAATTATTTCTAATATCTTGTTGAAATATCTACTAGTTGTTTACATTTCTTACACTAGTTATATGTCATTATATCTATATACTTTTCCTCAACTTTTACTAACTTTAGCAATTCAGCTAAAAAGGTTTTAACAACCCAAGAATACAAACATAGCATACAACAATAGATACAAATCACTCTTTTCTCACACGATTCATGCAAATTAGCAAGCTTTAGAAAGCTTATGTAGAGAATAGAGTATGGCCCAAAAATTCAAACTTTCACCAACTATAGAGAAAATCACAAGGTCTTATCGAACCGACAATAGATCAATACTTGTATGCAATGATGGAAATAGCTAAAAATTTTAAAAAAAAATGGCAAAATATATATCTTAAATTGGTAAAAAGAGCACGCAACCATAAATTACAGAAAATATAAAGAAAAAAAAAATAAAAAAGGCAGTAAATATATATTAAATTGTTGAAGTTGCATCAAGCAAGAAGAGTAGTGACTCCCCAAGAAAGGCAATGCCATTTTTCAAGATCTAGCAAAAGATCACAAAAACCCTAAAATCAATCAGATATTCGCATCAGCAGCATAAAGGGGGAAAAACCACAGCTATCAGAGAGGAACCAAGTCGCAAAGAAGAGAGAAAAAGAGGAAAAAGTGGTGGTAATCCTAGCCAGCAGAGAATTTTCCAAAAAAAAACTGTAGATCTTATAAAAGTATACAAGGGACGATTTAATAATCATCGAAAGGCAGGTTTTTAACCATTTCCTCTCGTTTTGGATGAAAATGGGAAAAAGAAAATCAGCAGAGGTGGAGGATTTTTCTGCCCTCTCTAGCCCTAAGATCGGTCGCCAAGCAGACTTAGACAAAGAAAAGAAGGGAACGACTTTATCCTACTCATTCACTATGTCGGAAGGAGGAAAGTCTAAGTTGCATGGAAACGGGCACGGGTACTGGTACGGGTACGGGTGCGGGTGCGGGATACGGCAATACTGTAAAATGTAGGATACGGGGACACGACTACATATATATATTGAATTAATATTGTACATAAGATAATTTTTTCCCCTTCATGTGTCATTAGAATTAAAATTCCGATCACGTTTTGAATTTTTTTATCATATTGATTATCGTGAATTGTAAACTACTCATCTTTTTACTAGACATCTAAACGACTCATTAGCTATATAGTTTTAAACTTGGGTATGGACTGAAACGAATCCGACCCGTATCTCATTAGTTCCAAAAAAAGACGGATGTGAAGTGTAAGCTCTACGTTCAGGAAGTCTTTAACAAGTGTTTTAAATTAACACTTATATATTATAATTGAGTACATGTTTAATAAATGCATGCATATATTCAAGAAGTGTCCATGAAGTTTGGGTACGGCAAAGTGTCAGGTACGTGTTCGGTACGGGTACGGCTTTATTATAGAAGTACCCGGGTAACATAGGAGAAAACTAATTTCTTTGTTTTAAGCGAACCAAACAACCTCCAAAAGTGGGAAACGAACCAAACAGGTCTTAAAGGAATCACTGTTATAAATAGCGGTAAATAGCCCCGTAATAGCGGCGCTAATAGCGTTAGCGGTCCCTTCCCGCGACGCTATCGTGCAATAGCGGTGACATATCACAAAATATATCTGTTCACAAAAGCGGCCAATAGTGTGTCATAATGGTAAATAGTGAGCGATTGCATTCGAAATTTGCTTTTTGATTGCTATTTAAAAACGGTTTGAGGCTTATTTTTTTAAATTAAACTCAACCCTTGACCATTGCATTCCACCGTCTCCTGTGATTTTCAGCATACTCCCGTCACCTCTCATAGCCTCTGGCACCTACCTTGATACTTCCTCTCACCTCCTTCACTGTGAGCTCCTCTTAGGGTAAACCTGTCACCGCTAAGCTCTTCTTCTCGAAGACGATGACTTTTTGACTCTTCCAGTCATCTTCGATATTACGTAATGGTTACATGTCTATTTCATATTTAGGATCTCTTTAAATCATCCAATATGTAATTTTAAATTTCTTAGTTTTTCTTTAAATTTTTTTTTAGTATTTATACATATATAAATTAGACCGCTATTTGGCTTTGCGTTTTTTACCGCTATTTTGTCGCAATAGCCTGAAATAGCCTTAGCGATGCCTCACCGTTACGTGACGCTATCCGCTATTGATAACCTTGAAAGGAATTGGACTTCACCTTTTTCCTTGTCCCAAAAACAAGAATACTAAATAAATAAATAAACCAAACCTCTATATTTCTCAATTTCATTGGTATGCTTGTAAGAATTTTTAGGAATTTCAAGGTAACTTCTATAATAATCTACTTCTTGCAAATCTAAAATAATTAGGATATGAAAGAAATTCAAGCTGTATAAAACACTCCATCCAACTCCATTAGAAGATATAAACAGCTGAAAGAAGTAAATGGGTAGCATCACAAGAACATGATTATCAGTTTTAGAAGAAATAAACCCATACTACGCCATAGATCAGAGCTGAATAAACACACTTCCCGAAAATAGAAACTAGACTACCAGAAAATAACATCGTGAAACATGATATAGACGACCTAGATACTCATTGCTATATAGAGGGGGAAAAAATCTTACAAGTTCCCAAGCTTCAATCGTTTGTGAACTTTTCTTGAGTAGATTGCTGTACATAAATCAAAACAAGAAATTGAACGAACATCATAAGGAAATTCTGAGGATATAAATCCAACTAGGGATATAAATATTCAATTACAACTAAAACGAAAAAACTGTACCCGATTGTTTTGTCCGTGTATTAGAGTAGTAGGTCTATCTGCTAAATAGCCATTAAAATCATATAACAAGACTCACTAAATCATGGTTATCTTGCGTCTTAGCATCATCAATAGAGCGCTCAATTTACATGACCAACAAAAAAGCCTAAAATAAATTATGGAGATTCTAAGTCTTAGGAGTAATGCTCCATTGCTGACACATTAGACATCAGAGGATTATGTAAGTGTTGTTGCGTCAGAGTGGTCGTGCAGATCACAAGTCCTACAGTACATATATATTAAGACATATGAATCAATGACAGCCTTTTGACAAGTTAACACCAAATTCTCAGGTTATCCTCAAAAAAGAGGGAGGGACATAATGGTTGCTGCATGCAAGGCATCAACTGAAGTCTCAATCATCAATTAAGACTCAACAGTAAGAGTTGATAATGACACTCTATTCAGATGCTTAGATTGAGTTCATGTGTACATGACCGTACTTTGGATGAATACAGACCTGACTAACTCATAGCTTCAAGAATGCACAATACTCCAAGACTTATGAGCATTAAAGCATTTAAAGCAAGAAAAGGTCAAGAGTAAGGCCAGAGGTGAAGGATAAGTCTGTTTTTCATTATTCAATATATTCCGTAATTAGGCCTCCTGTGCGACTTGGGAGTTTATATTAGATTACCGCTCTATTGACCAGGTGAGAATAATTATCATTCTAGTATTAGCTCTACAACAAGACCTATATGAGCACAGAGCATGCAGAAAAAATTGAAGTTGATGAACAAAAGCTAAGGACATGTTTGGTTGCGTGTAAGAGTGGAAAAAGAAGGATAGAAGATGGATTCTCCATGAAAACATGTATTTGGTTGAACAGAAGAAAGCTTGAGAACATTTTCAATGACAATAAAGGGCCCACCATAGACAGCTAAATTTTCATGTTTTGACATTCAAATAAAGCAGTGGAGTTGGAAGGAAAAGTTCTATTCACAATTTAGTATTATTTCTTTGACTATTCAACTCATGCTAACCACTCAAATATTGAAATAATAGACTAATCAGTCTTTCCATAGGAATGGTTTTGTTATAACCAAACATGAAAAGCAAAGGGAAAAGTTTTCCCCAAAGAAAATGCTAAACCAAATAAAACCTAACTTGAGATTGATTTTTTCTTTTGAACCACTGAACTTCTCCCAATAAGACTTTCCGTGCAAATAAAACTCTTGCAAGTAACCAAATAACCGCTAAGTCGCTCAGAAAGCAGTTGACTGAGATAAACCAGAAGACAGATTTTCCTAGTTGAGTCCTACCAACCGAGCTCTGGACCACTCACTTTTTCAGTCAGGTCTATAACAGCGATATCGGGTCGACAGTATTGATAGATCAGAAACTTTTATGTAAACAACTGTTCTCCTCAGCTAATTAACAAGAGCTGGCTAGATTTTAACCCATTGAACTGCGAGCTTTTGCACCGGCCTTGATATAATCAATGTTTGTTATGATTACGTAACAACTCTCGGTGCGTATATTGGCCTATCAATAGCATGTGTAAATACTTACAGATTGTAAATGCTGATAAAGATCCTAGTAGCCAAAAAAGGTAAACCTGCACCAAAATCATGGCAACACCATACTCTAGAAACTGGAAAAATAACATATGAAATATTTCTCAGCAATGACTACTACTCCTGACATGATGAGAAGGAAAGTTATATAGGAGAAGTTGAAAACATGGAAAATATACTAAACCCTACGGGAAATGTTATCAGAAATATTCACTAGCAAATCAAGTCAAATTTCAGATCATATACATATCAGGGAATTAAAATATTAGATTTAGAGGAAAAGCAACTGACCACACTCCATGATGAACGTCACAGTGATTTGGATGGCCCGAAACACCAAATTCGTCAAACGTAAGTAACTGAAAGGAAATGGATTATGTGACCTTTAAGACACAAGAAAAATTCATCATTGAAAAAGTAGATACAAAGATGTGTGTGCAGCGCACATGCACAAACATTCAAATGAATGCACACACACTATGAAAAGAAAAATAAGAAAATAAAACTAAGCATACACATTCGGGTTCACATGCATGCAAGAATACGGACAAACACTAGAGAAGCATCAGAGAGCCTATAGCAATTTCTGAACAGTGGTTATCCTAATATCATAGCAAGTTTTTTGTTGATCATCAAAACAATGACACGCATGAGTCCTATTATATTATCGCTACTAGGTTGAAACAAATGAAAATGCACAAAATTCATGAAATATAACCCATCAAAATTGCAAATTCGAAGCTACACCAAATTTGTTGTCATTAGGCCGCAACAAACAACAATGGACAAAATTTGTGGGTGAAGCCCAACATGAATTTTAAGGTACTCGTATATATTTCCCATTGGGTCAAAGAACGAAACTCGACAAAATAAACATTGGTCACAGCCCACAAAAATCGCGATTTTGAAGGACTTTTGAAGTATGCATAACTAATGTCATTGGGTCGAAATGAACCAAAATTGACAAAACATTGGGTTATACCCCACGAAAAGTGTAACTTTTTGAAGTACATGTAATTACCTACCATAGGGATGGAACTAAAAAATTGTCAAAACTGTGGGTTATAACACATCAAAATCGCGAATTTTGAAGTAGTCATAACTAATTTTCATTGAACAAAAATCTTGGGTTGTAGCCATGAAAATCCTCAATATTGAAGTTCGCACAGTTAATTGATATTAGGTCGAAATGAAAAAATGATAAAATCACAGATTATAGGTCATGAAAATCATAAATTACAGCTCATGAAAATCACGAATTTTGAAGTACGCATAATTATTTACCATTGAGTGGAAGAAAAATATTGACGAAAATCATGGGTTATCTAGCCCATAAATATCACAAGTTTTAAAGTACATATAATTACTTGCCACTAGGGTGAAAGGAAAAAAATTGCCAAAATCATGGGTTACAACCATCTAAATGGTGAATTTGTAAGTAGTCATAAATAATTGCCATCGACTCAAATGAATGATAACAGAAAAAAAAATCATGAGTTATAGCCATCCACGTAAATCATGACCATTGAAGTTCGCACAATTATTTGCTATTGCGTCGAAAGAATAAAAATGGACAAAAATCATGGACTATAGTCCATGAAAAGCACAAAATTTGAAGTTTGCACACTTATTTGTCATTTCGAAGTAATAAAAAAATGATAAAAATCATGGGTAGCTCATGAAGACCACGGTTTTTTATGAAAATAACGAAAATAGACTCCAATCACAAGTTATAAAACATGAAAATTGTAACTTTTTTGGTACATGTCATTGGGTTGAAAAGAATGAAAATGAGCAAATATCATGGGCTTTAGATTGTGAGATAACAAATATTGAGAAATGCCTAGTTAACAGCCATTGCGACGAAATGAGAACAAGAAAGGACACTAGTAGGTCATAACTAAAAGTCATGAAGTTCGAAGTAAGCATATTTACATCATCGGGTCAAAACAAACAAAAACTGGAAAAATCATCGATTATAGGCCATAAAAATCGTGAATTTTGAAGTACATGTATAATTTGTTGTCATTGGATCACAATAAACGAAACTGCACCAAAATTATGGCTTTAACAATATAATATGATTTTTCGTTAATTTCAACCCAACGTCAATTTTCTTAATGGACACTTTTGGAAGTTCTTTGCACAATCACTTTGGAATTAATGTATCATAGGCATAATCATGGCATTACTATGCATTCATTACTTTTCTTTTGATCCATTGTTTCCTTAAAAAAAGTGGCTGCTGCAAGCATAAATTGCTTAAGCCACATTGAATTTCCACCGCTATGCCTAATCTAATACTATTCTAAAAGTGTGAAGGGTGTTCAAACTTTTTCTCCCAAAATAGCCTCCATATTGTACCGAAAGTTACCATATTGCCCTCAAAATGCATTCAAATTATCATTCATCCACTAACATATACCATACAAATGCTATATCTTCACTATTAATAACCATCACGCTCGTGAATAAGGAATTCACTTAGGGACTGTTTGAATACCGCTTTCAGTTTGGGTATTTATGACACCTTGCAGCTTTCCGTCCAAATCGCTGCAAAATTGAGTGAATTGGGGGGAAAGTTGCAAATGTCATTGAAGAGGGAATGGGGGCAGCATCAGAAAAACGTCAGAGCTCTAACACTTCGTGGCAGCTTTCAGTTCCTTTACCGCTCAAAATACTTCAACCAAACGGGCCCTTAGTATTATATTAGTATAATAACATCTACATAGTTATAATATATACTCATTATAAACTAATATCATCTTCCATATAGTCCATTCATTTCTAAAATGTTTTCCATATACTTATTATGAGACTAATTTATAAAAGACCAATTAAAGCATTAGTAGCTGATAAATGATTAAATTATGTTCATCTCCTCTAACCTTTCAATTCAAAACCCTCATCTCCTCCATCCCATAACAGAAATAAGCCTTCATCCATCTATAAATTTTCTTCTTTTTCATCTCCGTCCTCTCACAAATCTCTCTATCATCAAAATCCAAAAAAAATTTTCCTCTAAAACTTCTCTCTTCTATTTACACTCTCTTTCATTTCCCATCTCATTATTGTTGGCAGCCTCTTCCCAACAAATGCTAACTCCTAATCCTGCTTATCGACCACCTTCATTGACAAAGATGATGGCTTTGTGGGTTGCGGGAGCGTGATGATGCAGCTCCAATCATGATATGGTAAGATCATCCTCTTCTTTATAAATGACGAATAGCTAGCACTTCATCCTCGAACGTTGCATACCGGTACAATTGCGCATTAGTGTCGATACTTGACTCTGTCGGATTTACGACCAAGGAGAAATTCTTATTAGGTATTGCTATACCAAGGTGAGAGCGAGCGCGTAGATGTGTTGTGGTTGAAAAATTAGTGTTAAATAATACTAAAGTTTAGTAGTTTATAGTATATGGGGTTGTTTGTTGATAAGAATACAATGTTTGGCGGAGTGTTCTTAATGAAATCATTATCTTTATCAACATGCCCAGTTAATGAAATCCTTATCTTTATCAACAAGCTCAGTTCACTTCTCTCAAATATGTTTCTCTTTTTTTTTCTTTTTTTTTCTTTTTTTGTCGCAAATAGAATAGTTGATTGAACCACTACTACAAAGCCCCCTATAAGCAAGTCATACAATTAGTTGTTGCTCTTATGCTCTATTAGCATTGATTGTGATAGCAAATTTTACTGAATTTCTATTTGAAACCATTCACGCCAATCATAGTCTAGGTTGGCTATTGAAGTGGTTAGTGGAATCAGTCTGATCATACTGCAACCCATTGTTCATATTTCAGAGTATATTTATTTGTCAGACAAACAAGATATGGGATAAAGAAGACTGTGAAAAAAATGTAAATTTTACATTCAATTGTACATTTCATGGAGCCAAAGAGATGCAAACCAACCTATGTTATAATTCAGATGAGATGATTTTGAAATTTGTCATTGATTTTTAAAAACATTGATTGTAAAACAAGGTAAATATTTGGTACATTATTCAATTGCAATTGATCGGTTTCTTGATCCAAAAACATGGCACAACAATGCTATTTGGTTGAGGCATGCATCCATGAAGTGACCAAGGGCAAAGTGTGCAAAGCCCTTTGAAGGTGAAACTTTTGATTTATGATCTCTTTTTATTCTCATCAATCGTTAATCAGTAGATATTTTATTGGATTAATTTTCGAAAAATCCTCTGAACTTTGGACGGTTATCAAATAGTCCCCTATAACTTTAAAAATGTCAGAAATACCCTTTGATTTAGGGATTCTCAGCCCCCCCCCCCCTCAATTTTAAGATTTTTCCATAAAACCCCCTTACAAGTCCTGAATGCAATTTTCATATGGTGGGTAAAATTACAGAGGAGAATATTTGCTTGTGGTTTCCACTTTTTTGGGGTTTGAATAACGTTAAAAATTGAAGGAGGTTTTCTAATAACCCTATAAAGTTAGGGGTTACATCATAATCATCCGAAGTTAAGGCAAGTTTTCTTAAATTTATCCTATTTTATTTTCATCAATTGATTTGTTACCTACTTTATGAATTTTACTTGAACTATTATTTTTGTTGAACAATTTATTTTTGTCGTAATCATCTGAATTTGAAATTTATTATTAAATAAGCAATTTGTATTATATCTATCTGTAAATGCATCATTATCTACGTTTTTATTCATTAAATTACATTTTCAATCTAATGTTGTACTAAAAGTATAGTCTATGTTAAAATAATTCTTCTAAAGATACCCTACAATTTGTATATATAATTGTAAAAATATTCATTTTGTTATGGGTGTAATTTTGCATGTCCTGACAATAAAAAGACATATATACATGAACACACATATATACTCAATATAATAAAACAATGTAATGTATCATTCAATATTAACTATTTACAATGATGATTTTGTTCAAATATTGCATCTGTAACTATTCCATTGCTCAGTTAAATTAAAAAGTGCCCACTACATTTCATTAACTATCCACTATTCACCCCACTTAGCCTAATATTGGGTGATCTGGGTGATTTCGATATTTTTACTATGAACTGTAAATTGTGCAAACAAGTGGTATGAGGCGTTAACTATCTTATTAATAAATAATTCTCTTAAATCCCTCCAATAGTTAAGACAAACATTATCTTGAATAGATTTCATTCCAATTTCTCCACCTTTTGAGGGGCATTTCAATTCATGTGATTGATTTATTCACTAGCCATTTTTTTAATAACTCTACAACACACACAATAGATAATTAATGGTTAGGAATAAGTGATTTTCTTTTTCTTCTTCGTTTCAGTACAAATGAAGGTTAACACAAAGAGTATGAATTTGAAAGTTTGCTTCCAAAATTTTATTTTTTTCTTACTGTTTTCTTCGATTTATTACGTGATGGGTTTTTTTTCTTTAGCCTGATTCATTTGTTTTATCACTTTCAATGAGTTTTATTTTTTATGGTGGTTTTATTTAGTATTGTGTGCTAACCTTGTTGATGTGTTTTATGATCTGCATATGTCACACTACAAAAGTTCTTGTATAATTTCTTAGCTTTACAAAAGTATGAGCAATGATGCATTAATGTCAATAAAAGTGGCTGTTCTCTCTTTTTTTTTTAAAGAATGGTCGATTAATAACTATTAACAGCAACTTCAACACAGAACTCATGCCAAAATAAATGATAGTTTGTGTCATCATAATCCTGATACATTATTGAAAAGACCATTGGACAAGATACACATCTAAAATCCTAGCCATTGACTCAAACATGGCAAAAGTTTACCTATTGATTCCGAGTCATGCAAAAAAGGCTCCATTAGACCACTCAAATCACATTAATCCCATCAAACCATTTAAACCCCCTTCTCATTATCATTATAAATAAAATATAATGATAAATGTTAAAATATTAAGAATAAATGTAGCAACGATCACAATTCTCTATGTATTAGGGGCTTGTTTGGATGCTTCAGAGTAAAGTGGGGTATTTATAACATATTATTTGGTTTGCATTCCTTGTGAATCCTAACATGATGTAATACCTAATTTGAAGTGGATTGTGTAAACTTGAAAAGTGAAAGTTATATGGATCACATACAATTTGCCAATTTACACTCTAAATTGTTCATATTTGCTAACCCCTCCCCCCCAAAAAAAATAAATAAATAAATAAATAAACCCAAAAAACAAACAAACAGACAATAATGTAGATACTTGCAAAGGTAACACCTAGCTCTCACTCATTTGGTTTAAAATACCACTCAAATGCTATAAGTTTAAGAAAATTCTCTGAATATTCCTCTTTTACATTAGAGTTTAAGCTAAAATTTTAATTGACTAAAATGCCATTCATTTGATGTATTATGGTTAGTAATGTTAATTGACCAAAGTTAATTAATTTTACTGATTATACTTAGAGAAAGAGAGGGGAGAGGAGATGGAGGAAATCGGATTTACATTCTAGAACACAGTAGAACAATAAGAATTAGATCAAAATATTACCTATGTCCACTCATTCACTGGTCGGATTTGGTTGAACAACATGCATGGGTTTTTTATCTTTATATACCATTATTTAAAAATTTAAAAATTAGGATCTTTGAGCTTAGGAGGAAATTTCTTTATTATCTAATAAGAATTTCACTTACCTGGTTGTTTTGTATTATAAAGTTATATTTCTTTTTTTTAGTAAAGAAAAAGTAAGCTTTTATGTGATAATGTTTAAGTTTTTCAGAACTGCAATTGGGATTATATTATAACAAGCCCGTGAAAATAATGAACAAGTTAATAGCTCCAATGCGTGCTATTTCAAACATTAGTTGAAAAGCTTAAGTTATGAGTTTTGGATTTCTAAAGAGAATGACCATAAAATACATTTAAGAAGTTTTATGTTTTATTATATACATAAGTTAAAATTTTATCTTTTTTCATCCAATTTAAGATACAAATTATTTTTATTCAAAATAAAAACAGAATTGATAATTGCTAAAAAATATACACACGTGCGGAGCACATACTCTATACTAATTACTTCTAAAGGTACAGTTGGGTCTGGGGATATCTCACAAGAACATAATTCATGATTATTAATTCTCAGGGTGAATTGAGTAATAATCTCAAACCATGTATCTAGATGTGCTTAGGCATCCATCAACCTACTATCTTCCAGTGCTTCAAACAATTGTGACATCTTGATAAGTAAATTCTTCTTCATCTATACAGTAAAAGCAAGCTATTGTGAACTGTCTCCACCCTATTTCACCCAAGCCAAGGGATCCCAAACTCAACAATCATCTAGATACAATACAAACTTGCATCGTATTAATAATGGTCATCATGTTTCTTCATTTTATGACAGACACAAACAACTTAAAATCTTAACAAAATCACATGGAGAAGCGCTGATCACATGAAGGAACAAAAATCTAATATATTTTAGAAAGCTATATTGACACATGGAATGCATATCAAAATACCAGAAACAGGAAGAAGGTGGCATCAGTTCAACTAGATCAAATCTTACTGAGTCAACATTGCATGATTTGATTTCCTCTTCAACAATCGTTGCTATTAACTGACGGTCCCATGGATGGTGAAATCCGTCCTACAAAGTATAAAGAAATAATTAAAAATATCTAGGATTAAATCCCCACCTAAAATGATAGTTTCTATGTCTTCTGTATATACCTGTAAATTTGGATGGTCCAAGATTTTAACTTGTTGCTGGGGAACCTGCAAAGAAATGCCTTACATTACAAAAGAAAATGATAAAGGTTGGGAAAAGAATAATTTATTGATGGTTTGGTAGAATCAAGATATCTAAACACCTTAAGAGTGGCACATGCCCTATAGAGCTCTTCTTTACGGACATTTCCCTTGCCTTCAGCATTACCTGCAAGATAGACAAGTTAACAATGCTGCTGCTTATATGTTAAACAAATAAACCAGCAACACTCAACATTAAAAAATATGGGTTATTTCCTGCATTGTCTTCATTCATCATTAATTATCAATGTTGGCATTACAAACTTTAACATAAAACAGAGGAACAGTTCCACACATAATTATCCAGTAGTGCACTGCAGTGGTCAATAAAGGCATGTTCAAAATGGCTAATTGGATATACAACCCACAATAATTTACTTTGAAGTCCAGTTAGTATAATTTTCTTCAAGGGTCACCATGACCATGATTCTGTTCAGCCTGTCGGACTCAATTTAAAATAAATAAGGATGCCAAGTGACTATTTCCTAGATATAAATTACAGATTTCACACAATATACCAAGTTATTTGAGCTTGTAAGGTTCATTTGACAATACTAAATAGTAAATTCTATCAGTGAAAATATATGTATTGGATGTAATAAATCATGCCCATCTACAATTGGAGGTTCAGGCTCAGCTTTATTGTTTATATGTATCATCTCATCTCCCTGCATGGCTAATAGCCAGGTCAGTTTCGGTCATCCCATACCTAGAGCAATCAACATGTTCTTTAATATTGATATACCATAATTTAAGTATAACTCCAAATGTTATAATTTGATTCAACTTGAAGAAGATAATTTATGTCTTAAATGCAATTTGACATATTATAATTATCCAACAAGTACAATCACACAAAATATAAGTTAATCCAAGATGATCTTTTTTGTAATACAAGGAGACTATTTTATATCAAGTTAAAGATAAAAAGGCAAAGAATTAAGCATTATAAACAAGGGAGTTTATCTAAGTACTACAAGAATTTATATCATGGATTTTTTTAAACCAATTTCTCATTTATAACATGATGATTTCTCATTTATAACGTGATGGTCAAGTGATGAATTCAAGAATTATATATTTGGTATTTCTAATGCAAAATCAACATGTTAGATCCGCACTTTAAATTAAGAATAAAACATGTAGCCAAAACCACATTTATGCCATGTATATTCATTTTAGTTTAACAGATATGTAGATACAATACAAATGAAAACCAGTCTGAGAGCATCACAGTAAATATAGTTGGATCGCCAAATCCATGAATGGCTGTGAAGAGATAAGCATTGATCTCGCATAGCAGAAAAGAACAAAGTTCCTAATGCAAAAGGTGATGTAGCAACCTTGCAGGACTCCATTTTCCAATTTCCTAACGTAACACACAACCGTGCATGTAATATAATAGAACCACAGACCAGAAAATACACTACAAATTTGTAAATAACTTAAAAATGGGGCTGAGTATGAACGTGATGTAGCTGTGGTATTGAAATGTAAGTACCTCTTACCGGTAGACAAGCATAAAACATGGAGACTGTGCCCCTGAGAAGCCAAGAAAAGAAGGGTTGGAGCAAAAAACCTAACACAATACAAACAGTGGCTTCAGTACTTTTCGCAAAGCATGAAAAAGAAAAAAAATATCATAAAAGTGATAGTATTTTACAATTACAAATAGTGTTTCCTCTATGAAAACAGCTTTGTCCTATGCCTCGATGGACCTTGATGGTTAAGGAAAGATGGAGAAAATAAGGCTCTAAAAGGATGGCAGAAAATAAGGAAAATTCCAACTAAATGGTAACATCATAGATAAAAGGTGGTTTTCGTAATCGGAATTAACCAAAACACTTAATATCTGATACATGCCTATTGCTATCAAAGACTTATACAAGATTTGCAATTTAGAGGGAGTTACTTATAAGTGCTTATATTTTAGAATCCTATAGGACTTGGATGTAAAAGGTATAGTATATAGAGACACAAGAGAAGAGGTCTGGAGTTCATTTCCTTTTAGTTCTCAATTTCTTGGTAATGGATTGTAATTGGTATCAAGTTGCACAGTTCCATTGCTTACTCGGATCCAGGCATGCAAAAATATCATGCGTCAGCAAACTTGGAACCCATCATCATCGTCGTCATCATTTTATTCTATTACTGAACACTAAAACTGACATACTGAATAATTAATAAACACCAAATCAATCTGTATCATTCTACTAAAAAGGCACTGCACTTAACTAAACAAGTAAGAAGCCCAAAACTAAACACAGTGATTGGACACGTATTAGAAAGCTTCGATTTTCTCCTAACTACATCAATTTTAACCAAACCCTAACCCCTAATTTACTATGAAACAAGGAACAGAAGCTTACATAGACTCGTCATCTGGATGTGCGATCACCAACAGCACATTTCTTTTCTCCCCGTCCTTGTTCGTTGATCCTGCACAAATCAATCCAAAACTTGGTCAATTACAGTAACTATGAGCATGAATTAGTTAAGAACACTTGGGAATTCAAAATCTTACCATTTTTAGAAAGGAAAGAGAGATTCGAAGGGACGCAAGGTGAAGAGATGAAGATCTTGAAGAGGGACGCTGCCCAAATCGTGATGGCGCCAATTGCAATCAGGATCCACACCATTTTCTGAGCTTTGATCAATGAATTAATCGCCGTCAAGAAAGAGATCGTGATTTCAGCGCTCGCAAGATCACTGAAGAGATATTATCCCCTGTTAGTTTTATTGGATCTTGATACAAGATCCGAATCCAACAATTATTAAATTTAGCCTCTCAAACGGATATTATATTTCTTATCGCTGGGCCTGACGCGACGCTGATCCAAATAAGCGAGCACAAGTTTTTTGTGATTATGGGCATAAAATTATCAGAATAAAACTTAGAGATATATATACAAGTTAAAAAGAAAAGGTGAAACTTTGGGGAATTAAAATGCAAATCGCTGGTGTCGGAATTCACGCTTTTAAAGTCCTCGTAAATGAACATTACCCATTAAAATGAAAATTGCCTATTACTTTATTCTCACTTCCAGTAAAATGTAAATTATCTAATATTTACAGCAATGTCACTTATCTAATAGCAGGAAGCTACGTTGATTCTACATAATGTCATCCTTTTTTTTTGGTCAGGAACCCTCTAAATTAGAATATTTGCAGGATCTGTATAACAAAACTCGTTGTCATTTTTTACAGTTGCAGAGGGGAGGTTTTTACCTTCTCATAAAAAAGAAAAGATGTATGGGGGGATAGAAAATTAACCAAACAGCAATAACATATAGACATGAAATATGAACATCACATATGAATGAGTACAACAAAAGATTTAACGAAGAGACAAACTGAAAATTATCTTTTAAATTAAGATGATAGGTAAAACTTAATCAGATAGTAATATGCTCGGTTGAACAGAGCCCACCAGGATAAATCTTAGGTTTTATAGTACGATCTTAAAACCAAAACTCCGGGGGGTGTCGAAGTATGTAATAAGATGTCAATAATAATTATTTAACTAAACTAAATAGTGTGGCTATACGTAAGGCATGCATGGTGAAGTTATGCAGGGTATTTACTTACAAGATGATTAATGAAGACAGGGAAAAAATTATAACTTGTTATAACTTTATTTTATAAAAATACATTAAATTGAAAAGATGTCATTCCTAGAGAGCGAATGTAGATTGTAGGAAAGAACCGGACTTTAGAAGTTCTATCAGTTTAACTTAATTGGCCGCTGCTTCATATGAATTTGCATAACAATCCTCAAGCATTTATCCCCTTATGAGACCGGTCACCGTCATTTTCAGTTTCTAACAAGTGTGGAACAACTAGCTATGAAATGAGTAGCAAAATAAGGACACCTGATACTTATCCATGATCTTCAGCGTTCAGCTTCCTAAACTTGATCAATCATTGTTAAGAAAACCTGTTGCTGTCAGGTCCCTTCAGTTCTCTGCACTGTCCTTTATGCTCTTACAGTAGTTGCAATTTTGTCATATTTTGAGTTTTCCTAGCATTTCAAATGAAATGAAGCACAATATCGGTATCGATCATAAGGATTTCCATCAATATCATCGATCATCGTCACAACATTTCAAGGATAAAAGACCTTGGTTAGCTCTTAGCACTTGTTCTAGTGTGTGTACCTGCTTATTCACCAGTTTAGCAGTTATATTGCCTTATTCGTCCTGATATATTGATGTGAAGGATGTTAAGGGTCTAGTTTTCTTGATTTACATTGTGAGCCCATAACCCATGACCATTTAGGTAAAGAGGTTTTCTGCCAGAAAATAATTTAAATCTGCAAGCTGGATGACAAGATGATGAGGTGATTTGTTTAACTGTTAAATAGTTATATCCATTTGTCATTGCCCTCTCAAATTTGTATTTAGTGCTTAAAGAGCTTTTATTCTAAGTGCATAAGGCTGTCATTTATATGCTTAAGGCCTTTCTACTCTATTTACATTTCTCAACCATTGACATTTGTCTATATAGTTTTAAAGTGGAGCCCAAGCTTTCATGTGAGGATTGTGTTAAAACCATTTAAGCTTATGAATATACAAAATATAATAAAATGCTTCAATGAAGCATGAACTATTTTAGGACTGCGAAGTAGACAATCTATGTTTAGTTGAGGGAAATGGTAGCTTTCTAAAGCCACAAAAAAGGGTTAGCACTGTTTCAAGGGAATAAAACTTATTAGTTATGAATTCAGACTGAATCCACTAATAAATGGTCAATATGCACTAAATCATTCTTAAAATAATTAACTTGTAAGCATTATTATCTGAACAAAACAATTTCCATATCAAAAAAAATTCACTATGACACTTTGCTTGTTATAGATCACGCTGTACTTTTAATGTTTCAACTCTATCCCTTTCGGATATGGATCACTCCAAAATGAGGAGGAATAGCAATATGAGAACTATACTACAATAAATATCCCATGAAAAAAAGCAAAGATGAACCGCAATGCCTATAGTGAACTGTAGGGATACCCATCGTTAAGGAATTGCGCAAACCACAAATTAAAAACCTTAAACTTTGCATTTAACAAGATGACTTCATAAGATCAAAGACAGTTAAAGCTAACATTTTTCAGTTAATGCACTAGCTGAGGAGTTCACTATGAACTTCAGTTTGAACTCCTCACTCTTTTTCTCGGAAAAAAAATATTTTTCAGTTAATGTTCTAGAGAATTACACAGAGATCCTCAATGTTGGATTTAAATCTAATTAAATCTAATTTGTGGGCACATATGATTAATCAGTGTGTATTGCTATCCTTAAGGATAACCTGCATAAAGTGATCAGTCAATTTGGTGACTTAATGAGTATTTAAATAAATCATGAGCTAAATGTGCAGATACCAGGTTGTAATTATAATTTAATGAGGGGTCAAGTTATAAATATACAACACCTATATATAAGGGGTTAGAGCATCTCCAACAGTTTCCTCAAAAATTTCTCCAAAATGGGGAAGCAAAAGTCATATTCTCCAAATTATTTTTGCTCCAACTCCAATAGCTTCCTCATTTTGAAGAATCCTGCATTTATTACAATAATAAAAATATTCTACATACCTATTTTTGGATGCTCTTATGCATTGGAACTGCCTCCATGGTTTTTTTTGTAATTACGGATTTTGTTTTATATTTATTTTCTCCTCCATCTCGTCTTGAAGAACGTGCTGCATTTATGACCAAACTTTCACCAAATATTTAAAGAATGTCCCAGATTTGGGGAAGACTCCCATTTTTCCTCATCCATCCCTATTTTGGGGAATGGGATGGGGAATCTGTTGGACAAAAAAAAAGCCCAAATTTCTCTAAAAGTGAGAATACCAATAAAATGGGGAAGCTGTTGGAGATGCTCTTATGGTCCCTAATCTAGTGTTACACTCTCACTCTCTTCACTCCCATCTAAAGAGAATTCTCAAGAGAGAACCCTCAAGATTAAAAGATCCAAAACCCAAGTTTCAGATTCGTGTGAATCCAAATGGATTCAGGTATGCTTCCGCTCTCATGTTAATCTCTATGAATTAATCACGGTAATATATACAACAAGTGGTATCAGAGCCACTATGATTAGTTCTTAGGGATTTAAGATTAAAATTGGGTTTTTTTATCTAAATCAGTGACTTTCAGAACTGTTCACGAATGAACAGTAGCAAATTTCTGTTTTTTCATTTTCTGTGATTTTTTTAGAACTGTTACTCGTATGAACAGTAAAATTCACATTTTGAGTTGTTTTTCTCCTTCGGCTGTTGAATCTGGATCAAACTCTTGATCTAGATTTAGAGAAAAACATCAATTTGTGGTTTCAGATCAAATCATTGATCCAGTTTGTGTGCAACACATCAAACTTCAGTTTTTTGGATCTGGATCTTCTAAAAGATCAGATCGAGTGCATCTTCATTTGGTTTTTTTGGCCGACATTCACTTAGCTCTTGGCCGGTGATGATCGCTGGCGGCCCCGTTGTCAAATGAAGATAGCGGCGACGGCGGCATCAGGAAACCCTAGGGTTCCGAAACCCTAGGGTGCGGGAGTTTAAGCGACGGCGGCGGCGTTTCAAGAATGAAACCCTAAGATCGAGCAGGAGCCCAAGTGGTGACTATTCAATTTCGAAACCCTAAGGGGTGAAGGAAATTGGGCTAAGGAGCTTACCCGATTCAAGCGAGCTCTGATCTGTTGCAGGCGATCTCCGTCGGCCACGTCGACAGGCGAACTTTTCAGCAACCTCTTCAGGCGAGCTCAAGCCCTAAATCAGGCGAGCTCGTGCCTCAGGCAAGCTCGAGCCCTAATTGCAGGCGAGTTTCGAACTCGATTAAGGCGAAATTGGTCTCGATTACAGGCGAGGTCTGAGTTCGAATTTTCAGGCGAGCTTGAGTTGAGGATTTTTCCAAGCGAGCTTGCGTTAGGAATTTTTCCAGGCGAGCTTGGATTTGGGAATTTTTCGGCGAGCTTCTATTCGTTAGCAAGCTTTGTCGGCTGAAAGAAGCTTGCAGGCGAGAGTTTTAGTGAGCTGATACAGACCCATGTGAAAAAAAGAGAGAAAAGAATGATGGCTTGTAAACTCTTGTCATTTGGGCCTTTAGTCGTTTTTTGGGCCCGTAACGAATGGGCACATTTTTAATTAACTGTAGATTAGGTTGAAGGCAATCATATTTAAGGACCTTCCTATGCTTAATCTAAATTAATTAAATTATGGACCTTTATTCTATGCTTAATTTAATTAATTAAGCTTATGGACCCCTACTAAGGTATGGATTATTTGATTTGTAGTCAAATAAATTTTAAGTTGTAAGGTCTTTATTTTTTTTAAAGAGCCTTTCTATGGTTGATTAAAATAGAGAAATTTATTTTAATTGCTCAAGAAAAAAAATTCAGAATTTCATTTGGTAGTTAATCAATTATTTAATTCAAATAATATGACACTAAGACATTAATTTTGTCTCTCATTCTAAATGATTAATTGAAACAAGATGTTGCCAAAGTAACCTCTCTTGTGTAGATTGTTCAAGAGGGATGTTAGATGGTTGTGTGTATGTTTTCGTGTAAATATTTAATCGGGTCAAAGGAAGGTTAATATTTATTTAGACTACATACACATCTGCGATGATAAATATGTGATAATTATAAGGTTTACATGTGAATAATGAATCAATCCAAAGATAGTTTTATTATTTAACATGGGTTAGTGTCAGAGTTTGATCATTGCAACAAGATATCATTTACAAATTAATATTACTGTTCAAAGACTTGATATTAATGTTGTGTCAGATATCTTGAGATGAGATTTGTCATTATTTAAATCTTATTGATTACTAATTACGGTTAAAATCTATTGTTTATTTCAGCTAATACATCTGCTGTAATAATTTCTGCTAACATCAACTCTATTCCTATGCTTAATGGGACTAATTTCAAGGTTTGGAAAGAGAACATTTTAATTCTTGGCTGTATGGATCTAGACCTTGCATTAAGAATTAAACAATCACAACCTCTCAATGCGGATAGCACTCCTCATGCAAAGAAAGAGTATGAGAAATGAGAGCGTTCAAATCACTTGAGTCTAATGATCATTAAGCACGACGTTCCACAAGCCTTCAGGGACATAGAATCCGAAGGGATTACTAAGACCAAAAATTTTCTTGTCGAAATTGAGAAGCGTTTTGCAAAACGATAAGGTAAAAACAAGCACGTTTTTAGCTCGCTTGATTTCGATGAAATATAAGGACAAAGAAAATATCAGGGAGTACATTATAAAAATATCTCATATTGCTTCAAAACTTAAGGTATTTAAACTCGATCTTTGTGATGAGTTATTAGTGTATCTGGTTCTGTTGTCTCTTCCTGCACAGTTTAATCAATTCAAGGTCAGTTACAATTGCCAAAAGAAGAAATAGACTCTAAATGAGTTAATTTCATACTGTGTGCAAGAAGAAGACAGGTTGAAGCAAGATAAGATTGAAAATGCTTATTTGACTTATGCCTCTAAGGATAATGACAAGAAAAGAAAGAATGATAATGAAGCTACTAAGGGTCCAGTTCAGAAGAAACAACATAAGGATAATCAGGGTTGTTCCTTTTATAACAAATTTGGACACGTAAAGAAGGATTGTACCAAATATCACGCATGGCATGCTAATAAGGGTACGTTCCTTACTTTGGTCTGTTCTGAGGTTAATTTAGTTTCAGTACCTAAAAACACTTAGTGGTTAGACTCTGATGCTACTACTCACATAAGTGTCTCTATGCAGGGTTGCCTGAGCTACCGAAAAAAGCCAAGTGATGTTGAAAGACACATCTTTGTGGGCGATGATCAATCGGTAGATGTGAAAGCAATTGAGCACTTTAGGTTGTTATTAGGAACTGGTTCATATTTGGATTTAAAAGATACTTTTGTAGTACCGTCTTTTAGACGGAATTTGGTTTCTGTTTCTGTATTCGACAAATCAGGTTATCATTGTTTATTTGAAAACAGTTAATTTAGTTTATCTTTAAATTCAAATGTTATGGGAACCTGTTACTTGAGTACTTATGACAACCTATATTTGCTTGATATAATTGCTTCTTATAATGAATCCTTACATGTGGAATCACGTGGTACTAAGCGTAAATTAAATAATAAAAATTCGATGACATTATGACATAAGCGTTTGGGTCATATCTCAAAAGGTAGAATTGAGCGTCTTGTGTCTGATGGCATTTTGGATTCTCTTGATTTTTTAGATTTCGACGTATGTGTTGAATGTATCAAGTAAAAACAGACCAAAGTTAAGAGATTAGGTGCCAACAGATTTTCGAAAGTCTTAGAATTGATACATACAGATATTTATGAGCCATTCCTTATGACATCTTAGAATGGTTAATAATATTTTATATCATCCATAAACGATTACTCACGTTATAGGTACCTACCTATATCTCATTCATGAAAAATCTGAGTCTCTGGACATGTTCAAAGCCTATAAAGCTAAAGTTGAGAATCAACTCAATAAAAGAATTAAAACCGTTAGATCTGATCGTGGTGGTGAGTACTACATCAGATATGATGGTTCAGGTGAACAACGTTTAGGACCATTTGCTAGATACCTAAAGGAATGTGGTATCGTCCCTCAGTACACCATGTCGGGTTCACCTAGCATGAATGATGTTACTGAAAGACGAAACATGACTCTTAAGGATATGATAAGAAGTATGGTTTCTCATTCTTCTTTACCAGAGTCACTCTGGGGAGAAGCACTAAAGAAAACAGCTTACATTCTGAACAGAGTACCGAGTAAAGTAGTTGCTAAAACACCTTATGAGCTTTATACTGGTCGAAAGCCCAGTTTAAAGCACTTACACATTTAGGAATGTTCAGCTGAGGCAAGGCCTTATATGCCAAATAAAAAAATTTGGACTCCAAAACAGTTAGCAGCTAATTTATTGGGTATTCTGAACGCTCTAAGTGCTATAAGTTTTATGATCCCACACTAAGGAATATTTTTGAGACGGGGACAGCAACATTCTTTGAGGATGTTGAGTTTGGGAGAGAAATAAGGTTAAAGACATTGCTTTTGAGAAAGAATTAACTTCAGACCCAATCCATACAGTTACTTTTGATAATATTCAGGTTTCTATACCTGTTATTGATCAAGAAGTAAATTTGGAGCCTCAAGATGATAATGTTGATCAACTCCCTGTTCCAGAAGAACAAACTCAACAACCTCAAGAACCAATACTATTAAGGAGATCCACGAGAGAAAGGAGAAATGCTATTCCGGATGATTATATTGTATTTCTCCAAGAACATGAGGAAAATAATGGAATGATGAAAAATGATCCAATCAACTTCCTTCAGGCCATGAAAAGTTCTAACTCTTAAAAGTGGATTGATGTCATGAATGAAGAGTACAAGTCTATGCAAGACAATAAGGTTTGGAAACTTGTCTCATTGCCAGAAGGTGCAAAACTAATTGGTTGTAAATGGCTTTTTACAACCAAGCGGGATGCAACTGGTGATGTGAAGAGGTATTAAGCACGTCTTGTAGCTAAAGGCTTTACTCAAAAGGAAGACATTGATTATACAGAGACTTTCTCTCCGGTTTCATCGAAAGACTCTTTTAGAATAATCATGGCACTTGTTGCTCATTTGATCTTGAGTTACATCAGATGGATGTTAAGACTGCATTTCTCAATAGCGACATTAGTGAGATGATTTATATGATGCAACCAGAAAACTGTGTTAGGAGACCCGAAGAATATGGTTTGTAAATTAAGAAAATCTATCTATGGACTCAAGCAAGCTCCTCGTCAATGGTATTATAAGTTTCAACAAATAATTATCTCGTTCGGTTTTGAGATGAATATTGTTGATGACTGCGTATATCACAAGTTCAGTGGGAGTAAGTATATTTTTCTGGTTTTGCATGTCGATAAAATATTACTTGCCACTAACGATATAGGCATGTTGCACAAAACCAAGAGATTTCTATCAAAAAATTTGAGATGAAAGATCTTGGGGACGCCTCTTTTATATTAGGAATCCAGATACATCAAGATTGTTCTCGAGGGATACTTGGATTATCATAAAAGAGCTATATCGATAAAGTACTTAAAATGTTTGGCATGCAAGATTGCAGACCAGATGATACCATTGTTGCTAAAAAAACAAATTTTGTCTCAATCAGTGTCCTAAAGGTAACCTTAAAATTCAGAAAATGCAAAAGATTCCTTATGCTTCGGCTGTAGGAAGTCTAATATATGCTCAGGAAGTACGTGTCTGGATATTGCGTACATTGTTAGGATGTTAGGCAGATACTTAAGCAACCCTGATATGGATCATTGGATAGCAATCAAAAGGGTTATGGGGTATCTTTAGAAAATAAAAGATTATATGCTCACGTATAGAAAATCAAAACAGTTGGAGGTCATTGGGTACTCTGATTCTGATTCTGCTGGATGCTAGGATAGCAGAAAGTCTACATCAGGCTACATTTATATGTTAGCAGGAGGAGCTATATCATGAAAAAGTATCAAACAGACACTTGTAGTTTCTTCCACTATGACAGCAGAGTTTGTAGCTTGTTATGCATCGAATCAAGGAATATGGCTGCGAAATTTTGTCACTAGACTACGTATTTTGGAAAAGGTTGAAAGATCACTAAAGTTATTTTATGACAATAAATCAGCAGTTATGTATTCCAATAATAACAGGAGCTCAACTAAGTCAAAACATATTGACATTAAGTTCCTAGTTGTGAAAAAAATGGTACAGAGTGGACAGATATCCATAGAGCATATTGGGACAAACTCCATGATAGTTGATCATCTTACTAAAGGATTACCACCTAAGGTCTTTCATGAGCACACTGCTCATATGGGTGTGATATTATTTGAGGATATCATGATTTAGTGGGAGTTTGTGATTGTGATGTTTTATGTTAGGTTGTATTGTCTGATCAGAATAAAGTTTTTAGTTCATACACTCTGGTACATTATTTTGAGGTTAACCTCACTAAAGTTTAAGGTAGGACAAGTTA